TTTCCAAGTGAGTTAAATCCTAGTAGAATAAACAATCCCAGCTAGAATTCTGCTTTAAGGTGTAGAGGTGACGGGGCAGGGTGTCAAGGGTCAGGGGTGATGGTGGACACGTGTTCTGGTTCATTGCTCTACTGGCTTAGTGGTAAGGAATTATGCCACCATTGCAAAGGCCGACAGTTTGAATCCACCAGTAACTCCATGGGAAGAGGATGGAGTTTCCACCCGTGTAATTTACTGCCTCTGAAAACCCCTGGAGAGGCAGCTAGAGACCTGCTGAGCTATGATTTCGATGGTAAATAACAAGAACAGGCTCAAACTTTACACACTCAAACCAGCCTCATCCATTGCGATGACGTCTTACACTAGCTACACTTCTCAGGAGGCTTTAGTCATCACAGCGAAGGCAGCAGGAACACACAGGGGAGCCAGGAGTCAGGGTGGACACGTCACGTGTCAGCCTGGGTCGGCCCTGACTCGGCCTGGTCAGCTGTTAGGTTCATTAATGGGATCTGGCCGTCTATGGGACAAAGGCGTTGTCCTTCATTGTGTGATCCGATGGGATCATCCTGTGCTTTCACCTGGCGCTGATTTCCCCTTAACAATCTCACCTTGAACCTGACCAGTGGGGAAGTAAGGAGCCGTTCCCTTCAAAGCACCTCTGCATGGACTCAAACCTCCAACGTTCTGATTAGCAGCCAAGCACCCTAACCATACTCACTACCCAGGGATGTGAGTACTGAGTCTAAGATGTACCTCTCTCCCTTCCCTCTTTCTTCTCTCTTTTCCCATCCATCCATCTTAGAACCAGGATGCATTGAAACAGATGAGGGATACAACTGTTTAAAAGGAATATATGATCAGGTATTATTTTCATGACAAGATTCTACAAAAAGAAATGCACAGTAAGGTGGACTGTAGACTTGGGGGGACTGTATAACAATGAAAGAATTTTTTTTTCTTTTCAAAGAGAAAAGCAAACGGGGGGGAGGGGTTGGCAGGGAGGAAAATGTGCAACAATGAATGAATGGGGGAAATTAAATGGGAAGAGTATGTTGTAAAATATGTTGCATTAAAAATATAATTTTTTTAAAAGAAAACAGATACACACACAAAAAAAACCAATCAGGATGATTATCACTCATTGCCATTGAATAGGTCACAACTCACAGTGACCCCAGCACGTGGTAGAACAGCCTGAGTTTGTTTCCAAGACTACACTCTTTATAGAAGCAGAATGCCACATTATGCCTCCCAGAGTCAATGGTAGGTGTGAACCTCAGACTTCTATGCCAGCAGTTATGTTCTTCAACCACTGTGCCACCAGGGCTCCATTTCTTTCCTTCCTTCCTCCCTTCCTTTCCTTCCTTCCTTCCTCCCTCCCTCCCTCCCTTTCCTTCCTTCTTTCGTTTTTTAAAAATGTGATTTGAGTGTATGTTTTTAGAGCAAATTGATATCCCATTCATCCATCCATGCACCTTTTTTTTTGCAAATTTAATATTTTAATTTAAACTATGGACTTTAGTTAACAATATAATAATATTATCCACAACAAATCTACAATAGGAATACATGATATTGATAGGAGAAGCAGTGAGCAGTGGACCCATGAGAACTCTCTTTACTTTCTACACAATTTTCTGTAAACTTAAAATTGCTCTAAAAAGTAGCCTATTACATTTTTTATATATATTCTTTTATTAATTTCAATGAACATCTACAGAGATTTTGGACTTCCATTCATTCATTGTTGTACTTTTCTCCATGCACATTTTTATGGTATTAATTATAATATCGACAAGTCACACTCTTCTAGATTCAGCTCTTTTTTTTAAAATTTTTTTATTTTATTATTTTTGTGTGCGTGTACCATCAAATCAGATCTGACTGGTACAGGAGGAGATTGTCCCTCCTTCCCCGGCAGAGCATCTGGTGGATATGAACCATTCGCCTCTGGGATTGTAGTTGCTGCTCCTTGCCACTAGGCCACCAGAGCTCCCCTAGATTCAGCTCTTAATATTAACATTTCTTCCCTACGTTCTCGGTTCCTTACTGTCTAATGCAAGTTTCAGGATCTCTCCTGAACTGTCTTGTTGGAGTATTAAATGTCCCCTGGACTCCCAAGAGAACACACCCATGTGCCGTGGAAGGACAGTCAGGGGGCTCCCTGGAGCCAAGGATAGTGAAGCTTTGTCTCACATGCTGCGTGTGTGTGCTGGCAGAAAGGGCCTGTCCTTGGAAAAAGGCATCATGTTAGGAGAGGCGGAGGGTCAGAAAAAGAGAGGAAGACCGTCAACGAGACGGACGGACACAGTGACTGTAACAATGACCTTGAGCATCGCGGAGATGATGAGGCTAGCACAGGACAAAGCTAGGTTCGGACCTCTTGTTCACGGAGTTGCTATGTTTTGCTGTCAATTTGATGGTATCTCCCCACAACTCCCTGCTTCCTTCCTGTGACTTTCCTTCCATTAATCCTTCCATCCCACTGCTTCCTGCCTCCTAAGCTTTATCCCTGGGCTAGCGTTGCCCTTTTGGTCTTGTATGCTTGTTCCTCCACAATGTTACTGTCCACCTTACAGGCCTGTCTCTACTGTTCGGCTGGAAGGAAAGCCACCGGGGTGAGGGTTTTCAACAGGTCTGAAGGGTGACTAAGCGTCAAGGTCTCAGCGGTTTGACCAGTTTCTATCTGACAAGTAAGCCTGGGCACTTTTAGATGTTTAGTTTTGGTGCACATTTCTTGCCCTCTCTGTCCAGCACCTGCCCCTCTGATTACTTCTGAGTGGTCAGTGGTGGGAAGCAGGCACCATTTAGTTGTCTTGGTCTCAGCGTCGTGGATGGGAAGGTCTGTGTGGCCCATTAGCCCTGGGGACTGCATTTTTGCTGTCTTCCTTCTTTCGTTGTCCCAGACGGTGAAAGGCCAGGAGTTTTGTACCCTAGATGGTCACTCAGAAGCTTTTAAGACCTAACTTGATACCAGAGTGGGCCACGGGACACTGCCGTTGTGGACTGTTACACTCATTGAGCTTGATGTTGTCAGAGACTAGGATCCTACCGTTCTAAGTCAACTCATTCACTCAGGGTGTTTGGCTCGAAGGCAGTTTATATAACGGGGCCCTGCTGGCTCTACTGTATATACACAGACTACATTTACAGCCTATGCTAACATGAATGTAGTCAAAGTGTCTATGAAAGTATGTCAGAGATGAGGAGGATAGGACAGGACAGGGTTCAGATGTGTGTTCACAGGGCCGCCACAAGCCGTATAGGACCCACTGAGTAACAACAGAGTTATATGTGGTCAGGATCAAGGTTCTTTCTAATGACTGGGATCAAATCAAACTTGCTGTGGGTTCGGATGCACGGCATCCCTCTCTTGGGGTTTGTAAATCTTTCTGGGAGGAGACAGCCCATCTTTCTCCCACGGAGCAGATAGCATTAGAACCGACAGTCTTACTACTTATTTGTTGAATTGCAAAAAAAAGTTTTTACTAATAGAAAGTGAGTCAGGTCCGGCTGATAGATTTTTACCGGGGTGTTGGCTTAGTGAACAAGATTCCACAGCAGACACTCTCCATACATGAACAAGCTTCATTTCAGTGCTGAGATCTTGACAGAGTTTATTTTAAAGAGCAATGTGATTAATCAAAAAGTAACACAGCTTATGGTGGTTCCATGTGTGCTAAGTGTGTCCGTGACAGGATCAAGCGTGCTTTCCTTATTGAGGAGCAGAAAATTGTTGTGAAAGTACTGAAGGCACAAGCACAAAGTCAGAAAGCTAAATAAAAAATGGTGCATGTTTAATAAATTCATAAATTTGTTCTAAAAAAAAAAAAAGTAACACAGACAAATGTCTGTATTACACTCTTTTTAATCACCTCTTTTGAGCATTTTGGGTTAAACAGGTTACCTCTAACTAAAAGTGAAATAGGTTTAATTAACAGTCATTTGGGATGTTCTCGTAAAGCCTTTTTTGGTGTACTTGCCAGAAATGGAAAAATAAAGATCTTTAAGGGCCAAGCACAGTTCCTTTTACATGCCATGTAATTTTTTAAAATTTATTATATTTATTATAACTAATGAATTTATGTATGTATGTATGTATATATGCCAGGTAATTTTTAATTCTTTACTTTCACACAGTAGAGAAGGATCTTAAGCGAGGTATCATTTTCAGCATGTAACTCGGAATTCATTAAAGGACATTATGTAACAACCCACTATCATCCTATAATGCTTGGGAGGGTGGAGGGACAGCGCAGGAGGGTTAAGACCCTCTATGAGGTGGACTGATTCAGTGACTGGGGTAATCGGGATGGGTGTGTCAGAGGCAGTGCGATTGGCACAGGATCGAGCAGGGTTTAGGGCTGTTGTGCATAGGGTCGCTATGAGTCACAAGCAATTCGACGGCTCATAACAACAACAACAACATCAACATCATCCTATGTACTTATTAATGATTCTTTGGCACTTTACTTACAAAAACGAAAAATAGAAAAACTGATAGAGAATTGTTTTTCTAGTAATAAATACTATTTGTCTGTAGATTCACAAGCTAATTTTTGAAAGTCCTATCTAACCCATTTAAGTGGTCCCTAGGTGATAGCTGTTGTTGTTGTTAGGTGCCAAGTCAATTATGACCCACAGCGATCCTATAAACAACAGATCTGAACCCTGTCCTGTCCTGTGCCATCCTCACACTTCCTGACACACTAGAGCCCACTGCAGCAGTCACCATGTCAGTCCACCTGGTTGAGGGACTTCCTCTCCTTCACTGACCTTCCACCCTTCCCAGCATCATGGCCCTCTCCAAGGTATGTGCGGCAAAGCCTCCTCATCCTTGCCTCCAAACTCTGGCTGCACTTTCTCCAAGAAAGTTTATTTGTTCTTTTCACCCTGGGTGGTAGAGATGATGATGTACTTGACTGCTAACCTTTGTTTAATACACTGGACCATTAGGGTTCCTTAAGTGGTCCCCAGTGGCGGCAGGGAAAGTGACTCACCTGAAGAGTGACGGGACAAACGAGGACCGGTCTGGCCTGGCATCCACAACATCTTTATCTGCTGAATCGCCGGCTTCCTGCTTCGCAACAGAGTCCAGCTCATCCTCCATCTGGGAGGAAGAAAAAGAGACCTGGAAATTGGTATTACGGACATCACCCATTCTGTGACATCTTAAAATAAAGCTCATTCCATGATAGAGATTTTTGCTAAGCCGAGGGGCAGTTCATTTAATATATTTAAACTCCAATGTTACTAGACCATCACTTCATCCAGGTGTGTGAGTGACTACTGTTGTTGTTGATTGTTGTCGAGTCGAGCGTGACTCATAGAGACTCTATGGACAAAAGACCTAATGCTTTTGCACAACTGTCATCACTTCACCAAGTTCATAGAGTTTCCAGAGGCATGTGGTTTAGGAAGTGGATGCCACTCCTGCTTCCAAACCTGTATTACACCTGGGAGCTCCACCAAACACTGCCCACATTGTTGTTGTTGTTGTTGTTATGTGCCGTCGAGTCGCCTGCGACTCATAGCGACCCTATGTACAACAGCCCTAAACTCCGCTCTGTCCTGTGCCAATCACACTGTCTCTGACACTCCCATCCCGATTATCCCAGTCACTGAATCAATCCACCTCATAGAGGGCCTTCCTCTCCTGTGCCGTCCCTCCACCCCCCCAAGCATGATGTCCCTCTCTAAGGACCGGTCTCTCCTCACAACATGTCCAAAGTATGTTAGACGGAGCCTCAGAATCCTTGCCTCCAAGGAGCCACCCAGTTTAACCCTTTCCAGGACAAATCTGCTTGTTTTCCTAGCAGTCCATGGTATTCTCAATACTCTTCTCCAGCACCACAGCTCAAAGGCATCAATTCTCCTTCTATCCTCCTTGGTCATTGTCCAACTCTCTGATGCATAACAGGTGATTGCGAAGACCATGGCCTGTATCAGACGCACCTTAGTCTCCAAAGAGACACCATTGCTCTTCAGCACTTTGGAGAGGTCCCTAACAGCAGACTTTCCCATTGTAATGTGCCTTTTAATTTCCTGGCTGCTGGTGCCAAGACTGTTGACTATGGAGCCAAGCAAACTGAAGCTGTGAACAATCTCAATCTCTTCACCATCCATCCTGATGCTGCCAATTAGTCCAGTGGTGAGAATCTTTGTCTTCTTGACATTAAGCCTCAATCCATATTGTAGGAAACTATTTTTCTGGTATATGATATCCCCATGGCACAAGGTTCAGCATCATAGCAAACCCAGTTTACTTCATACAGCACATTGACAAAGAGTGATGTGCAAAGTGGAAGAGTGTTCCTCCAGATAGAACAGCACTAGTCTCAGTTAGCAGTGGTTAATTGTCGTTAAGTCAAATATGACCAAGAGTAAGTTTTGCACAAAACACCTAAACTCTGTTCTATGACTGACACGATTTCTGTACATTTATACATTATTTATACATTCTATAACTACTATCGTTTCTGTACATTTAAAGAGTTTAGAAAGTTTGTAGAGTTTAGAGAGTTTGTAGAGTTTCCAGAGGCATCTAGTTTTAGGAAGTGGATGTCACCCTTGCTTCGCTATGTCCTAAATGTTGTTTCAGAAATAGGGTACAGAGCAGGGAAGAAAACCTAGTTATAGCAGCTACAATTCTGTTACTTCATTTGGTGCAAGACACTGTGGACCATTGCCAAGGTCCTTCAATCACTCATGATTTTGGAAGATGGGGGAAGGAGGAATTTGGCTTGGGGGAGGTGTCCAAGGAGGCAAAGGGCCTTCAGTTCCAAGTGGCAATGCCATGTCACCCCCCTCACCCCCCTCCCCAGCTTACCCAAACATGGGGGTGAACCAGGCCATGGGAGATGCTTGAGAGGAAGGAGAAGCCCCTTATCAGGTCTAGACAAAGACCGTTAGAAGTCAGATGGCCACCCTGCTTCCTAACACCTCATCAATCTCTCCATCACCACCAAGATGTTTCCAGCTGAGTGGGAGATTTTTCAGATTAGAAGCCAAAACATTTCTCAAAACTAGAGATAACATCTTCATCTCTGGAGGCAGGGCACACAAGGCCCGGCAGAGATAAAGCGATTTCTACTCTAGCCCCGCTCCACAGAACTCAGCTTTTCAAAATTAACAAGTTAAATGTACACAAAGCTCTCCAGGAAAAGATACTGGATTTGACATGTAGGGCTTAAGCCTTGAGCTCAAGCTCATCTGGAAGGCTGATTCTAGAAAAGATAAGCGGAAGGCAATGTGATCACTTAGGAAAAAAAACCAAACCCTGGAGCATTGTGTTGCCTGAGAAGTCATCTTTTTTCCAGAACTGCTGTGGCACATACGATTTTAAAAACTCCCCACCCTCCTTCCAGTATTTACTGGAAGGCAAAAGCACCCCATGCCAGGAGCCAGGGATACTTGGTGAACAAAGATGACGTGGTCTTCCCTTGTGGGAGACTGAGACTAAAACCAAAACCCCAACCACAATCCACGGCCCTCAAGCGGATGTGCTGACACACAGGGCAGGGCAGGCCGAAACACCCCAGACGCTTTCTCAGCCTGCAAGTCTCAGGAGAAGCTATTTCATCTTTATTCCTCAGAGCACCTTTGGGCTTCAATCAGTGACCTGTCAGCAGCCCAAACCCGAACCTTGTTCACTGCACCACCAGGGCTCCTCCTGATGACAGAAAAACACTGATAAAAAATTAACCAAATAACAAAATCCACCATCACTGATGGACTGTAACTCCACTTTACGGGGCAGAGTCAAGCTGCCCCATAGGGTTCCAAGGGTGTAAATCTTTATGCAAACATACTGCCCCATCTTTCTCGAATGGAGTACTTGGTGGGTTGAAGGCATAAACACTTTAGTTATCAGCTTAATAATGCTGATAAAAGGGCAGTGTAAATATCTAGTTTTTACTGTGGCGAATGCCGTAAGAGTAGAACCCATCCTTAGAAAGAGACATCATGCTTGGAAAGGTGAAGGGATGGAAAAACAGAGATGATGATGATGAGATGGACTGATGCAGTGACCGGGGTAATGGGGTAGGTGTGCTGGAGACAGTCAAGTTGGCACAGGACAGAGCAAGTTTCAGGGCTGTTGTACGTAGGGTTGCTATGAGTCTCAAATGACTCGACGGCACATGACAACAACAACATAGTGGGACACAACCTTGCTCAATGGACGTGAGGATTTGAAGCACTTGCTGCAGAAGATGAAAGACTTCATTATCAACATCAAGAAAACAAAAAATCCTCCCCTCAGGCAAGTAGGCAACATTATGATAGATGGAGAAAAAGAATGATGTTGCCAATGATCTAATCTTACACGGATCCCCAGTCAATATCCTTGGTACCTCCTAGCAGCCAAGAAATCAAAAGTCATGTTGCTTGGGAAAATGTACTATCAGGGATCTCTTCAGAGTACTAAAGAGCAATGATGTCAATTTAAAGACTAAGGTACGCCTGACCCAAGCCATGGCCTTCTCCATTGCTTGCTACTAATCTGAAAGTTGGGCAGTGAAGTGACTAAGGATGAAAAAAGAAAACTTGATGCCTTTGAGTTGGCATCGTGGTACTGGAGAAGAGCAAGGAATGTCTCACAGACTGCCAAGAGATCAAACAGGTCTGTCTTAGAGAAAGTGAAACCTCGGTGTTCCTTGGAGACAAAGACAGTGAAACTTCACCTTCACATTCTTTGGGCATGTTGATAAGAAGGGGACAGTCCTTGGAGAAGGACATGATGCTTGGAAAGGTGGAGGGTCAGCGTAAGAGAGGAAGATCTTGGACTGGATGGATTGATACAGTGACTGTCACAATGGGCTCCGTGCTGGAGATGGTGAGGCTGGCAGAAGGTAGGGCACGGCTCAGATCTGCTATTGACAGGGTCTCTGTGAGTCACAGCTGACATGAGGGAACCTAACAACATCAACCTCAGAGGAGTCAGGGCAGGAGTGCAGCGCAGGAAACGTCTGCCTTCAGAAGGACCAAGATGTAGGACTCAGCCTGGTAAAGGTGAAGCGAAAAGGGCACAGAGAAGCCCCGCTCCATCTCACTCTTCACCGTAAGCCTTTATCTTTCCAAACACCATAAGTCAGCTACCTACTGCTCTCAAGATAATTCCAGTTCATTTCAAACCTCCATTGGGTTTCTGAGACTGTAACTGTTTCTGAGAGAAAACTGCCCAGCTTTCTCCCATGGGGCGGTTGGTAGATTCAAACCTCTGATCTTTCAGTAGATACACTAAGCCGCCAGCCTACCTCTGGGTTAATGCTAGACACTGGCAGCGGCATGGCGCTTTCCTTCCAACCACCTGCCAGGGTGGATTTCTTAAGCAAGTCTTCACCTTTCACCCTTTCAAATCTGAGGGGTTAAAGATTCAGTTACCTTCTTATTCCTACCAGGCTGAGTTTGAATTTTGGGGATACCCCAAAGTTAAACAAATAGGGTATCAGATTCAGTCAAGAAAGACGTTTCCCTGAGAACCTAGGGGTGCTGCGGGCCCCTTATTTCCCTTCTTTCTCATGGTATACCCAGAAATCCAGGCCTGTTTCACTCTGCCTGAGCCTGGGGCTAGCTGGCTGGAGTCAGTTCCTTGTATCTGTCCCCTTTGTAGGGCCACACTGCAAAGAGCAGTCGGCCTCAGAAGACCAGTGATGGGTCAGCTATGAGTCAGTTCCAACTGGATGAGAGATGGTAATGAGAGATGAGATTACTACTAGCACCAGCATCAGCTGGAACTATACCCACTGGAAGACTGAGAATGTATCTTAATCATAATTCCCGTCACAGAAGAGTGTCTCACACCGAGCAGGAACTTTAGCAATATTCCTTTATGAATCAACTTAAATGCTTTGCCTCTGAGTCAGAACAGCCTCATAACTGACCCTCCTGTGGGTTTTGGGGGGCTGTAAATCACAAATCACAGAGAAGCCTGCCCCCCCTTTCTCCTACAGAGTTGCTCTTCGATTTGAACCACCAGCAGCTTCTTGGAGAAAGATAGACAAGCCCTTCCTGGGTGAATTAGAGTCTCTGAGGCCTCTTGATGTCTCAGCTAGGTATCAGTTTCAACTTAACAGCAGTGCAATGGGGACCATTATCACTGTCCACAGAATGCAGGACCAAGACAAAGACATTGGACTATCAACTTTCGCTGATATTTTTAAAGTCTGTTTCTATTTTAAACTGGTTTTGTTTCATGTTTTCACGTGTTGTCGAGTTGGAATCAACTCACAGTTACTCCTCCAGCGGGGTTTCAGAGGCTATAAACTGCACAGGAAATTGTCCACCTTTTTCCCATAAAGTGGCAGGTGGGTTTGAACCACATGCCTTTGGGTTAGCAGTGTAACTCCATAGCACTAGGCAACCAGAGCTCCCTAAACAGATTTTGTGGAGATGGGAGGTGGGGGGCAACCACGCTAACAAATAAGAACCTTCTGGGGATCTTTTCTAAACATGCTCAATACTGTCCCATGTTGGGGCAGCCGTTTTTCTCCGGAAAAGCAATCACTTCTGTCCATTGTCTGAACTTGGATATTTCCCCCTCTAAGTGGGGAAAAGGACTATGGCTGCTACCACTTGCCCCGAAAGGTGAGGTCAGACAATCTGTGTCACACTTCTTAACCAAGTAAAGGCAATCTTCCCAAAGGGCTCAAAAAAAAAAACAAACAAACACAAAAAACAACAAAACAAAAAAGACACAGCTCTGGGATGTTCGACTCTCTCCTCCCCAACTGTGGGCAGTTCCCCTGGTCACTCAGGGCACCACTTTGTCACCAGCTTCTCATCGTACTGCCAAGCGACTGGAGCCTTGTCCACCAATTTGCAGAGACCACTTAGGTTTCTTCAGAGACATTAAGTAACCTGGTGAATGGCACACAGCAAGTAGGTATGCTGTGTTCCTCATGTGTGAACTGAGGGGGAACCTACTCAGAGCCGACACTCCAGCAGGTCTTCGGGGGCTGTAAGGCACAAGGCCCTGCCCTGCTTTCTTACTCCGAGTGGCTGGAGGGTTCCCATCGGTGAATCGGGTTCGATTCCCATGCCCCGGACTCCTCACCTACTGGGCCACCAGAGCTCACTAAACACATAAAGAAAGTGGCTTATGAACCTGGGCGCTGTAAATGAGGTTGTGATAAGTGGGGACGAAGGTCAGGTCGGTACCTAGAAGACCCTGAAAGAAGAAATATCAACCCCCAAACCCGAGCCCAGAGTCTCGTGTCCATCCCTACTGGACAAACGAGACTCAGAGGCTGTCTTTATGGGAGGGGACTGCCTATCTTTCTGTCTCTGAGCATCTGGCAGATTCGAACCTCTCACGTTTAAACTAGAAGCACAGGATGTAATATAATACGCTGTGTCAACTGAGCTCTCTGAAGGAGTAAATCATCTGTAGGGAAATAAAGGTGGACTAGCCCAGGTGCTCAAGAGAAAAGGGTGACCTGCCCTGAGCCATGTACAAACCCCATAAGCTGAAAACCTGGGTACAATGAAGGACTTGCAAGATTGCCTGGAGTTTGAGAGTTCCCTGGGCTAAAGGTCGCCTACTTTCCCACTTTCTAGAATCCTCTGCAGAGCTTTTGCGACGGGAGAGCTGGACAGTGAGGACAGGAGCACACAGGTTCGGAGCCAGGGCTGAACCCCACGGTGCACCACAGATGTGCTCCTTCCAAGCCAGCAGCCACCCCATCACTCCCATTAACAGGCTGGGTCAGTCTCCCCGCGCCATTCCAGCCGGGAATCCTCAACATTCCGCCTAACTGCCCGGCTCATATCCTACAGGCGGCAAGCACGCGCGTGGGGACCGGGATCCAGGCCTGTGGGATATCCGTTAACTGCGCTTCCTCCCCATTTACCGCAAACTCCGCCTTTCCATGAAAATCTCGCGGACAACAGGTGTCCCGAGCCCCCAGGCAAGAAGGGAGAGAGGACCGCTGTGCATGCCTGGCGATGGCGAGGGCAGGGAGCGCTCACCTCTGGAAGCCCAGATGTCCTCTTAGTGCCCAAAAGTTCTCGGTCGTGGTGGAAAGCCAGCCGGCAAGGCGGGCGGGGAGAGGCCGGCGGAAGTGCGGGGAGAGGCGGGCGGTCGTGGGGAGCAGGGACCACAGAACCTTCTCGAAGCCTGTACTGAGCTCTCTGCAGTGGCCCTGCCTGTGGCTCTCGACCCGGGTCCCCCGGAGGCTTTATATGAAAGCGAAAGTAGAAGCCGGGACCCAGGAGGCGGAGCAGGGGCGGGACCGAGCCGGGCGGGGCTGCAGGCACCGCCTCCGGGTCAGAACCGTGCAGCGCGCAGCTCAGCTCGGGTCCGGTCCGAAGGGCACGCCCCACCGGCGGCGCCCGGGAGGAGAGAGCACGCTCTGCGCGGGGTTTACAGTCAAGTTTGCAGATTATGTGCACTGCTGCAAAAGGCGCTGCACTCTCTGGGATCTAAGAGGGCGTACACTCCAGATCCAGGGGCCCACACATTCAGGGATCTGGGAGGCCACCCACTCCACATCCAGTGGGACACACACTTTTGGATCTGGGAGAGCGCACACTCTGGATCAGGATCCCCAGAGGGCACTTCCTGCAAAGCAATCAGATCTCAGAGCTTCCCAGGCAACCCAATGCCTGGGCCTGCCCGGCAGTTCCTCTGTCCTCAACGACAGTGGGAGCCCCTCCCTGAGCCTCAGCATCACCCCCGAGACCGAGTTCTCAGGGCCAGAAGGCTCTTCCCTAACCAGACCCTGGACCCTGAGCGCCTGTTCCTACATTAGTTACTTCCTCCTCTCCAGCTGATCGTGGGATCTGCTGAAATCTTCCAGGCTCCTTCCTAACTTGGGGAGAGGACGCAAAGATGCCAAATCTGCCCCCGCCCCGCAGCCAGTTTTTAATCAAGCGGCTCCAGAACCTTCTACGAAATATTTCTTGGGCGCCCCCATGCGTCAGGCGCTGGGTATGCGGCCGGGAATAAGTTGGAGACCACAGACTCGCCAAGCAGTGATTGAACTTCACCCTTAACCTCTGTTAGCCCTTCCCCAGGGCTCCCTTCACCCCTTGGGTTAGAACTTAAGCTTCCAATGTCTTCCCTTCCCTAGATTTCTCAAGAAAGCAAGGAATCTGTCTCCAAATAACACCCCAAACGGTAATTGATTCTGGACTCAAGGAGACCCTATAGGAAAAGCAAATCTGTTCTGCTGGGTTTCCCCAGTGGAAATGTTTATGGACACCGACTGGTACATCTGTCTTCCTCAGAGCCGCCAGTTAGCAGCGAGCGTTTTAACCACTGTGCCAAGAGGACTCCTTAGCTAGGACATACTGAGGTGTCAATAAATGAGGGTAAAGCCTTGAGAAAAGGGGTAAACCTGCCATCAGCCAAGAACTGTTGTTTGGTGCCATCCTGTCAACTAGGTTTCATAGCAACCCTGTGAACAACAGATCAGGGCCTTGCCTTACACAGTGCCCTCCTCAGATCTATGTGACCGAGCCCATTGTTATGGTCACTGGGCCAATCCATCTCGACTAAGGCTTTCTCTTTCTCTGACCCTCCGGCATCATGATATCTTTTTAATTTCCTTGCTTGATCTTTTCTGCACCTACGATTTCACTGCTGAATCTAAACACTCCTAGGATAAGGGCTGAACCTTCTTGATCTGAAGAAAGCCTATGAATCCCAGGGCTCAATAAAGGAACGGGGTCGGGGGAAGCCTGCGCTCAGGCAAATGGCAGAGATTAATTGATTATGAGTAATTAATTTATGTACAAATTCCACATTCTTGAAGATTGTAACATGCGATTACACTCTTCCCAGATCTGACTGAATGGCTCTGAATTCAATCTCCAAATTCCCAAAGTGAAAGTGCTAAGTGAGTTTCATTTTAGACACAAAAAGTATTTTTTAACAAGGAATTTGGTTATGAATCATCCATGAAGTGAAGAATCCTATTAGTAAAACAAGAAAATTACTCTCTGGTTTACCTAATTTATAAATCAAAGGGTTTGCAGATTATTTCTGAATGAGAAACAGACTTTTGAAGTTGTAAGAAGTCTTAACTTCTCTCTCTGCTCATTTTTTAGATGAAGAAACAGAGAAGCCATTTAAGCCACCGATTTGCTAGTGTCAATCAGGTTGACCAGACAAATAATCAATTTACCATCCACAAGAATGCTAAGATTCATGCGAATGTTAAAATATGTGAGCGTACTGAAATTCCTTGCTGACTGAAATGGAGAGGTGGTGAAGGAAAACTTCTTCCTAGTTCTTTATTGTGGATTGGAATGGAAAATTTGTGTGTGTGTTGCTCCATATCTAGATTGTCACCATATGCATCATGAAGAATCATGGGAAGGTGGAAGGAAAGAAATGTTTTTGAACTTTCCCCTGGACAATAATTCTACAAACACATTGGCTTTAAATAGTGTTCCTTTCTAAACATATCTTCTATGTTTCTATAGCTTTGGCTCTATAGCTTTGGACTATGTAATTTTTTTAACCTTTTATTTCAAATAATTACACCATTTCAGAAAAAAATCCCTCATTCCAGAAAAATTCCCCTAAGTCCAAACTATTTTAATGAATTTCAGGATTGTCTCAGGTTGAACAAGCTCCACCAATGAGACATCTTTCCTACTCTTCAAGGAGGCGAAATATTTTTCTTTCCTCATTTTTGACTGATTACCTCTAAGTTCCAAGTTCACTCTTTTTGCCTGCTCTGTGAAAATATGACTAGGACTTTAAATTGCTCTCTTCTCTCTCTCTCTCTCTCCCACCCACACACACACCCCCACCCCATATTCCCAAACCCACTTCTCTCAAGTTGATTTCAACTCATAGTTGAGACCCTCGGTTGGGTTCCTGGAAATCTTTACCAGAGGAGATAAGTTACATGTTACACCAACAGGGTTCCTTTTGGCCAGAAAATAAAGTTTGTCAGCAGGGCACCTTCTACTGCCTCTGGACTTTCTCTGAAGCTGCAGACGTTTCCACCCTGCGTGCCTGCTTCCTCAAGGTGCAGGGCAGTAGATGATGTATGTAATCCTCAAGCAACGGTGAATGGGAGTTAAATGGATAACTGCCCCAGTCTCCTCTCTTCCAGGGAGACAATTTTGAGACACATTCAACATGGTTCTTCGGAGAACCCAGCAAGATTGAGTTCCATGATAATAATTAATTAAAAATAAGCCTTTTCTTGATGTTTCTTTTCCCCAATGCACTCATCTTAAATTCTCCATCAGTCATCATAGGAACACCTCCTAAATAAATTAATGACTCAAAAGTTCTGTTTAGACAAATACTGCATAGTGCCACTGTTGTAAAACAGGACTGAAATGAGGCTTGGGGAGACTGAGAAAGAGGGGATAAATATGTTTACTGCATTGAAACAGATGAGGGAGAAAACTGTTTAAAAGGGATATGTGATTAGGTATTATTGTCATGGCAGAAATCCAGAGTGCATAGTGGAGTGGACTTGGGGGAAGGGAATATATAACAATGAAAGAATTTTACTTTTCAGAGAGAAGAGTGAATTGGGGGGAGGGAGGGTTAGGCAGGAGAAAAGTGCAACAATAAATGAATGGAAATTCTCAGTCTCTGTAAATTTTCATTAAAATTAATAATAATTAAACAATTTAAAAAAATGTTCTGCTTAAGAAAATTTTATCCAGGGCAGGCATAAACCCCAAACTGAGAGTAAATAAGCCAATCAAAACAATGACAGGTGAAGTGTGAGAAGCTGTTTCTTCATATTGAATTTATCAGCTCTCTGTTGTTTCAAACCCATTTCACATCTACAGTCCTGGAAGACTCTGGAGATGATTCAGAATATGAAATAATTAGCTCATAGCCTGGATGACAGAACCAAGGTACAAGGAGTCACCATCATATACACTACGTTTACTTTCCAAAAGGAAATTAACTGCCCACAAGCTGTGCCTAATAGTCACTTAGACAAAGCAAAAGGCTGTGGGTATTTCTTTGACGACAATCTCTTTATGAGTCAAGGCTTTCTTAGTAACAGCAGATGACATTGGTAGAAGCACAGAAACACAGTTGGGGGGTGGAGAAAACTCTACAAGATCCACTGTGACCTACCACCCCCGAGCCCCACTTTTGAACTGTCTGCTGAATGAACTATGTATATGACCTCTCTCAAGCGCCACTTCAGATCTTCTCAGCTTCACTCACCTTAGGGCCTTTGCCTTCTCGCTCCAGTGTGGCCTCTGTCGTGACAACTAGCCCTGTGCAGACCCTCGCCAACTTCGCATGCCCATAACTCAATAATGTCTCTAACCTTTGGCTGCCCTTGTTTTTTTTCTGGCTGATACTGGGGTGTGATATGCTGTGGGACTTCCCAGTCATCCACACACCCACAGCATGGAGGAGAATGAGGCATTAACATTCAACAGGACAAACCTATCCTCACGGGAAGCTAGACACCAACATCCCAGCAGATGGTCCTGCGTGGCTGTTGTTTTATGGCCTTCTGGTGATAGAAATCAAGTCACTCTTTGGACTTTATACCAGGTAGTGGCCACTTTGCATGCAAACCTTCAGACGGACCTTCCTCTCCATTTCCTCATGCTCCCTGGGATTTTACATCTGCATGGTGTCTTTGCAAATGAGCATTTGCCTGAGATACTGGTTTCTGGGAACCCAGGGTAAAACAGATACTTTCTGATGCAATCGCTAGAGCCAGAGGAATGTTGTGTGCTGATTGGCTGGAGAGAGTCAGTGAGACCAGGTGGGAGGGGTGGTTAAGGCAAAGGAGGGGACAGTTTCTAAAGAAGATGTGACAGGACAGGGTGGAATGGACACAGGGGACTCTTCACGGTTTCCAGGAAGCAGGCGTGGACTGTGTCTATTTTGTTTCAGCAAAAAAGTGTTTTTATCTAGTTCTCTAAATGGTTTTATTTCTAGTTCTATGGGGTTATTTCTCCTTGAAATTTTTCACATCTCGGGAGCTCTGGTGGCCTAGTGGCAAGAAGCTGCACTGCAATCCCAGAGGCACACGGATGGAATCCACCAGATTCTCAGCTGGAGAAGGAGGGACAATCTCCTCCTGTACCAGTCAGATCTGATTTGACGGCACACACACACACACACACACACACACATAAGAAAATAAAAATAAAAAAAAATTTACATCTAATAAGCAGAAGTGCTACTCAAACTTCACAGCCATCTTTTTCTCAATAGTAATCCTTTCCACAACTACACAAGGAGCCTATAAGCAGATATGGATTATAATTACAACCTTGGGGGGGGGCGGTAAAAATCTATGTATACTCTTTTCCTGAAATCGAGTTGGACCGTGATTTTTCTTCAGTCAGGGCAAGGGCTCCCAGATGCTTCTCAGTTTGCTGTGCTGTGGTCGTTTGTGAATTGTGACACTGGAAGCTATGCTGTCAGTATTTCAAACACAGCAGGGTCACCCACGGTGGACAGGTCTAAGTGGAGTTACCAAACCCAGACAGATGATGGAGCAGGACTGGCTTTATGCAGTAAGTGTTCAGTGAACACCTTGTGAACCACAGCAGAGCATGGTGGGATACGGTGTGGACGAGAGGCTGCTCAGGTCGTCAGACTCTCAGAAGGTGACAGGAGAAGAGCTGCCTCCTGAAAGCAGAGTCTCCCTTTACGAGTAAAGCTTCAGGACCTTCCCATGCTGACGTGACACGGCTCACAATGAGAAGAAACAACTGCCAGGATGCACTAATAATCAGAGCATGAAGCTAGGGAAGAGCCGAGGATGGCCAGACCTCATCTCACGTGCCGTGGGCGTGCTACCAGGAGGGCCCAGGCCCTGAAGGAAGATAGCACGCTTGGGAAAACAGAGTCAGAGAAAGAGAAATAGAGCCTCAAATAGCTGGATTCCCGCACAGCAGGCCTGCGAGGATGGCACAGGCCAGGGCAGTGTTTCCTTTTGTTGTACACTAGAAACAACTAGAAGGCATTTAACAGCAGCTAGATTAAGGACACAGGCACTTCATTCTCAGTGGTTACTGGAGTTCCTACCCTATTCCCAAGTAAGGCTGATTCCGGACAGAACACTTATGGGGCTCTTCTGCTCTCTAAGGGGTTCTGGTAGTTCAGCACATAAGGTGTCAGACTCTTAACCAAAAAAATCAATGGTCCAAACCCACCAGCTTCTTAGCCTGGGAAATGTGCACGGTCTCATAAGGATTTACAGCCTCAGAAACCAGGTGGAAGGCCATTCACTATCAGTTGGAATCGATTTTATGACGGTAGGTTTCTGGCCTTTGGTCTGCACTGTTCCCTTTTGCTCTGACTTGGGGCCACCTCACCGCCCACCTCACAGTTCACCAGGGAATCATTGCTGAACCTACACCCTTGCCTGAGATCATGCCCCAGGCTGGGAGACAGGGCTGTGGGGCGCCTTTCCTTCACACTCAGATCCCACCCCTTCTCCCTGGTCTTGGATGAGCCCCAATTTCTTCACAGACTGTGTGGCTTACTCCCTCTCTGCTCCTGGCTCTCACAGCACAACCCTAGAGCTGCTGCTCTCTCTTTGATACCACCCGATATCAGCAGAATGTTCGCCAACAGTTTAAGTCAAGGGTCACAAACCGATAGCCTGCCAGCACGGTCCTGTTTAGCTCCAAGAGTTTCTAAAAATGGGATTTTATATGAGCATACCGATATCTGGCTACTCAGGAAAACCCAGAGACTGACTCTGTCGTAGCAACAGCTGGCCAAGATTGAAGAGAAGTGGTGACCTACAGCAGATGGGCCTGTGTTTTCCCATCAGGCGCTTAATATGTAACACTAGGGGCCAATGCTTAGGAAGAGATAACATGTTGAAAAAGGTGGAGGGCTGGAGGACGAGAGGAAGACATTCTGACACCAGCGACCATCAGAGTGGGTGAAGTCTATCAGAGATGGGAAGGGAGAGAAGATATGACAAGGTTCTGATCTGTTGTTCATAAAATGGCTTGAGTGGCAGTTGATTTGATGGCACCCAAAAGCAACAGGGAAGAAAAAGTGTGGTGATCTGCTTTATAACTTAACCCAGCCAACTCCTAACCGACCCTCTAACAGGTCTTCAGAGGCTGTAAATAGCGAGAGAGGAGCCTGCCTGTTTTCTCTCGTGGAGCAGAGCGATTGATGAATTCAAAGCACCTGCCTTTATCCACTAGGCCTCAGGTGCTCCCTGCTGAACTGCTCAGAGCCAAGAAAACCCCGTGGAGCTTTTCTACCTGTAATACATGCGGTCACCCTCAGTCGGAATTGACTAGGTGCAACCAGCAATGGCAGTGAGTTGATAGTTAACACAGTTTAGGGAGAAAGCAGAGAAGTTGTAGCTTCAAATAACTTCTCCTTCAGACCTTTGAGTGGACACCTTCAGGTTTAGGATGAAATACAAGTCATTTGCATTTGTTTTGGGTTTTCCCACTTGAGCAAAGATAAACTAAAACCCCTGCTGTCCGGGGGCAGCTTCTGACGGAGGGTTCACGCACTAGTGTACTGTCTCATATCTTGGGGGGTAGAACTAACCGCCCGTAGTCCTCCCAAAGCTGGGTAGTATCTCGGGAAGCACATTGTCACATCTTCCACCCATGGAGATGCCAGTGGGTTCAAACCTCTGACCAGGTTAGCAGTCAAATGCTTTAAACATGGTGCCACCTAGACTTCTGCTCAGCAAAAGCTATTGAGCACAAGTTATTGAACACAACTTACTCAACACAGGTTAATAGACACAAGTACCAACAGACACTTCTGCCTCACTGGTGCACACATTTTTAATCGCTCCTGCTAAAATTCAAGCAGGTCTTTACCTTTCTGATGGCGGGACTCGGTGCTGTTTCCCCTCCCGTGTTTTGGGGGGCTGCCCTTTGCCCCTGGACACTCCTCGAGCACCCCTTTCTAATTTGGGGGTTGGGGAGGGCGTGGCGCCTTCTCTCAGCTCCTTTTCTTGGGTGATGATCACAGCTACTGTGAGACAGACTACAACACGCCTTCTGGTCACCACCAGCATGTGGTCATCCAGGCCAACACGATGCGGCCGTTGAGTTCACTTTTCTATTTAGAGAAACATGTCAGCTACAAATACCTCCGACTCACTTCCTGGGCGCATGCGTGCTGAGCCAGTTGCCAAAATAGTCTCTTGAGTAAGTGGCCGCTTTAAAAGCCATCCATCCAGCGGCTGGCTTCAAACTAGAAGGTCAGCAAAGGAAAGTGGAAGGTGGATTCTGAGAGGTCCAGGTGGCCGCGCGGATTTTACAGGCTTGGCATTTTGGAGATTTGATCGACGAGGCTGGTCCTGTGTGCTTGGGGTTCTCGCCTGGCTGGGTTCTCTGTCTTCTGACTTGGAGATGAATGTGCAGCCTTGTTCTAGGTGTGGATATGGGGTTTACCCCGCTGAGAAGATCAGCTGTCTAGATCAGGTCAGTGGCAGTTTCTTGACCTCCTCAAATCACAAAAGGAAAGGTGGGAGATTTGCACCCACCAGCTGCTCTGCGTGGCAGTCGGCCTCTGTAAAGATTTGAGACCTTGTAGATAATCACAGCGCCTTCCAGGGTCTGTCTGACTACACGGCAAAGAGGATGTGGAAAGGTCAAATGAAATGCATCTTTCAACACAGGGGCATGTTGTGTTTTTCGAACTGCAAGAAAGAGTGGCTTTTCCTACCTTAGCTTTCTTGGGTTCTACCAGTTTCTACGTCCTCTTGAGGGGGAAAAAAATAACAAGAGAATCTATTTAATATTTTTAATCGAGCTAGTGTTTACATTGCTATCTTATCACTGACCTCCAATTTCTTACCCTGAAAAACACAGAGATCTTGAGTCTTGAAAACAGGTGATTTTGCTAAATCTCTTCTCTGTGGTTTCTAGATATGGCACAAGGCGTGTTTTCACTGTGAAGTGTGCAAGATGATACTATCAGTCAACAACTTTGTGAGTCACCAGAAGAAGCCATACTGTCACGCGTAAGTGTGGGCTCCCTGCCTTTTGATACTTCTTGAGTTTGGCTTGTGTTATCCCAAGTAGCCAATTAGATTCAAATCAGCAACTCCGCCGTTTAAACCCAAGAAATACCTCTTCAAAAGTTTTCACTCGCCTCGCTGGCATTGCATTTGACAGACAGAAAGCATCGGAAATTTCTGTAATGCAAAAGATCAAATCTATCCATGATGTTGTATGTCAAAGTGTTGCCATTGTGCAGAACAATATATTTGCTATAGATACGCTCATCAGGTTTAAAATGTATTTTCTTCTTCAATAACTTTAGAGTCCCTATCTCTTGTTTTCTGAAAGTTTTTAATGGTCATTTTCAGTTCCATTTTGTCCTTAATATGTATGTGTGAAAAGTCCTTGGTTGGCTGCAAAGTTTGCTTCAAAACACATGCCGAGAAAACCAAGGACTCAGTTACTAAATCTTGTATTTCTTGATGAAAACCTGAGACCATTTGAAAGGGTTTCACAGTCAGTCATCTAGGGCCAAGTGCATTTCTGTTTTGACTCACATGTCTATGTACGGTTTTTTTGCAGCCACAACCCCAAGAACAACACTTTCACCAGCGTCTACTACACACCTTTAAGTCCAAATGTGAGGAAACCCCAAGATGCCATCAGTGGTGTAAGTCACCCCACTTTGCAGTTCAAAATAACCTTTGAAGAAAATCCTCCCACTCACGCACCTGTTGAGTTTTCTGGGGTCTCTGCCTATATGTTTTTGAGTTCATTTCTCCCATATACTCATGCAAAGTGCATTTAAGTGACAGATGTTTCTATTTTCATTTAAAAATACAGGAACAAATGTACAAGCTAATGTAGCATTACTATTCCGAGTCTCTGTATCCTGTGCTAGTTCTGGACCTTGGTGACAATTTATTCAAGAGACCCTGTATACACTTGGAACTTCATAATAATAACTTAATACAAAGTTCAAGAACATCACAAGGGGCTTCCTTAGCTTCCTGCTGCGATATTTTGGTAAAGAACCTAGAAAACCTCTACCTCCACACTCTTCGATCCCTCCCCGTCCAGTGGCTTGACATTCTTTGCACTTTGGCTCTCCCCTTTGAGTCAGGGCAGATCAAAGATTTTTTCTATTTGGAAATAATATTTTGTTTTGAGGCTTGGAGAATGGGGGGATTAACAAGTAAATTACCTTAATGAACCCAGCATAGTTTGAAAAATCAATAGAAATGTTTTTGTTAAGTAACTCGCTATTAATTGAACTCTTGCATCCGATTAAAACAAAAAATCCGATGAATCATTGGAGTTTACATTCTCTCCCTTCAGCCCCAAAAGAAGTCGCTATGTGGGAGTCAGCATTAGCAACTTTCTAAAATTAGAAAATTGCATATGAATTCAAAGCTCTTTAGCAATCTCACTTCACTGAAATTCTCTCTGAGGTCACCTCCCCTCATGGTGATGCCTGCCTGCCTGCCTGCCTGCCCAGGCTATCTTCAAGTTCAGCAAGGGTCCTTGCCTGTGACTCTTTATATTTTATTGTATATGCAGTTATTATTGGGAGCTCTGGCGGCTAAGGAGTTACACTGTCAGCTCAAAGGCAGGTGGTTTAAATCCACCAGCTGTTTCAAGGGAGAAAGATGGACCGTCTCCTGTGCTATTTGCAGCTTCTGAAAACTGCTGTGGGGTCAGCGATGACTTGGCTCTGACTTTAGAGACCACAGCACCCCCACCACTCTACACTGCCCCACTGGCCCACTTCCATAGAACCTAGAGGGTGCTAAACTCTCTAGAAGGAAAAAACACACGAAGCAGCTGTCCATGTTTTCAAATATCCAAAGCTGGCCACATTAATGAGGAGGAGATGCACTTCTGGATCAGAGCCCTGTTTGCACAAGCTGCATTCCCCAGACCTCGAACAGCTCTGTATTTTTCTGCCCCCTCTAGGCCTCAACTGGCCTGATTCCACGTTAAAATCAAGCGACAAGTCACACAGCGCTTACCTCCCTCTCGGGGAGTGAGGGACTCATTTTCTTTTCACTGTGTGTGACAGGCTCAGACGGGAGTGAGGCTGGGATTATCACTGGTTCTATTTCCAGCCACAGACAGTGACGTGAGCTTCCCAAGAGGCTTGTCTCAGTGCATGTGTTTACATACAGGTGGAGACGTCTGTGTATGTGTATGTGTGTCCATGTGGGGAGTGTGTGTGTCTGCATATGTATATCGTGTGGAATATTTGTACATATTGGTGTGTAGACATATCCAAATGTATGTGTATGTGGTGTGTGTATGGATAAATGTATATGTATGTGTGTATGCATATGTGTGTGGTATGTTTGCCCACATGCATTTTTGTGGCATGTATATATATATATACTTTGTGCTTTGTGTGTGCTTTGTGTGTGCTTTGTGCATGTGTGTATATGTATGTGTGTGGTGCGTGTATAGGATGCGTATGTGTATACTTGTACATGTGTGTGTGGTGTGTGTGTGGTCTGTGTGTGCCTGTGGTGCAAGTGTTTGTCCATACATGTATTTGTGGTGCGTGTCTGTTGTTAGAGGCCATCGTGTTGTACATGACTCATAGCGACCCTGTGATCAAAAGACCTGGACACTTGTATAACTTTCACCCTTTAATTGGGGTTTGTAAATATTTGGTCAAATATTCTTCTAGGTCATATAGCCCTGGTATGTCCACTTGCTGTACAGAGGTAACTCGTGGTTGCTGTGAAGCTGAACACTGTGAAACTGATGAGTCAAATGTGAGAATGGTTACCCATGGTGGACAGTGTTTGGTGGAGCTCCCTGATTAAAACAAGCTTGGAAGCAGGAGTGGCATCCACTTCTGAAATAGCTTGCCTCTGGAAACCCTATGAACCTGGAGAAAGGGTGAAAGATAGACAAGTGTCCAAGTCTTTCGTTCATTGGGTAGCTGTGAGTCGCTTAGGACTTGATGGCACTTAACAACAACAACAACAACATATGTATATATATCTATAGTGAGCTCTAGTGGCCTAGTGGTAAGAAGCTATCCTGCAATCCCAAGGGCATGCAGTTCAAATCCAACAGCTGCTCCATGGGAGAAAGATGGGCTGTTTCCTACCCTGTGATTTGCTGCCTCTGAAAACCCACTGGAGGGTCAGTTTTGAGCCAGTTCCTACTCAGTAGAAAACAGTAACAACAATCTAGTGTGCATATGTCTATTTGTGCATATATATGTGTGTGTGTGTGTGTGTATCAATGTACCTAGTGTGTGTATGCATGTATGTATGTGGTATGTTTAAATGTTTATGCATACATCTGTGTGGTGAGCTTGTGCATATATATGACTGTATACAGTGTGTATATGCATATTCATGTGTGTGTGCATCGATGTGATTATACATGCAAGTGTGTGTGTGTGTGTGTGTGTGTGTGTGTGTGTGTACATGCCTAGGAGTGTATACCAAGCACTTACATGTTGAGATGATTTTCTCCTTCTTCCTGTGCAGGGAAAATTCAAATAGACAGTTGTGACCCTGACTTAAACCCCGCCTGGGGAACGTGCGGACTGACTTTCTTACTTGTATCTTTGGGGCCGCCAATGGAATAGAAAGCAAGTTCCTTATGCATGTGCTAAAATAAGCAGGGAATGGTGATAATTCAGAGATGGTGCTGAAGAAAGAAGTAGGATAAAGATTGTGAGCTGACATTTGAAGCAAGTTTACAGTTTTGTTTCCTAAATGTCACACTTTTAAAATGCATAAATATTTACTAAGACAGAGTTGTCTGCTTTCTAAGTGTGAACGGAATTCTTAGAGGAAGAAAACATTTCGACTTTTTTCTACTTAGAGAATGAACTTTAGCCCCAGATTTCTGTACATTTACAGCTTTCTCCCTACTTCCTGGTACAATCACTAGACTCATGAGTAGCCTGAGGCCATAGGCTTTTATCATGGGAGGAGCACAGCAAATGCGACTTCCTGTAGGTGAGGAAGAAGATTTATTTTGGTTCATGTATTTCTGACTTTTTAAGTCAATAGTTCTCAACAGAGAACAGTTTCACTCCCAGAGGACATTTAGCAGAGTCTGGGGACATGCTTGGTTGCCACAGCTCAGGGTTTGAGGTTGTCATTGGCATACTAGTGGGTGGTGGTCAGGGGACTGCTGGATACCCAGCAATGATAGAACAGTTCCCTGACGTGAGTGGTGGTCAGGGGACTGCTGGATACCCAGCAATGATAGAACAGTTCCCTGACAAAGACTTCTTCACATATCCTTAGTGCTTCACTGAGAAGCATACCCTTAAATCGAGGTAATATTCACATCGTTTCTGAAATACAAAGAAAAAGGCATGCAGAGATCTCTCAACTTAATATGACTATAATGATATATTTCTTATAAATGTGTATATATGAAGGGTATTAAGCTGTAACAAGCCTAACAATGACAGAAAGTGACCTCAACAGGAAACTAAAATTCCTACCATAAACTTGCTAACCTGCTTTCTGATTTGGACAAGTTGGTTTATTATTTCTGAGCTTGTTTAATCCATAAAATAAAAAGTTTCAATGTTGATCAATTTTAATCTAATGAAATCACACACGTCTTCTCAATATCTGTTGGCAGATTTCTTTATTTTCTCCAATCAACCTTTCATACACATTTTATAACATTAATTACAATATTCACCATTTAATTGTATTCTTACTCCTTCCTTCTTATGACTTTTATCTCTGTTAATCCTGTAGCCTCCCTTCTGGCCTCCAGAGTTTTCTTTTTGTGCCAGTGCTGCTCTTTTGACCGTATACGGTTTGGTTATTTTTTAAAATGAGGTCTTTCCTGGTGTTCACCTTACAGGTTGTCTCTGAGCAGTTGCATTGCTCACCCAAAGGTCATAACCCAGTGGCAGTTTGAATCCATTAGCAACTTTCAGGAGGATGCTTTATAACCCTATGGTAAGGAGCTGGGTTTCCATCTCAAAGGCAAACAGTTCGAATATACCCGCTGTTGCAAGGGAGAAAGATGGGCAATCTCCTCCGCTGTGATTTGTTGTTATGTGCCATAAAGTAGGAAATGGCCCATAGCTGACCTTCCAGTGTGTTTTCAGAGGCAGTTAATCGCATGGGAGGAGATTGCCCAGGTCAACTATGAGTCAGTTCTGACTTGATGCTGCACAGTGAAAACAGTGAGGGAGAAAGAGAAGTAATTTATAACCTTGGGAATCTGGATGGTCCATTATTGGTCGGTTCCAACCCTACAGGCATGAGTTTGAGTTTGTTCCAGGTTTGAAGGTCATCTAAGGGCCATAGTTTGGAAGGGCAGCTCTACTGGTCTCTACCGGCCAATAAGACTGGCCATTTTTTGTCTTTTTAGGTCTTATTCTGTATCTGTCCATTCTCCAGCCAGGGTGTTCTACCGTGATCCTTTCTAAAGTGATCATTAGCATTCTCTGACACCTTCTCATTCTTCTGGTCCGTAGGCCTTTGGACTAATAGTTTCAGTACATCTTTGCTTTTATTTTTCTTTGTTCTTGATGGGGGTGGGAAGGGACATAGTTGTACCTTAGATGACTTCTCAGAAAATTTTAAGACCCTAGTTGCTTACTTTGGAAGGAGGAGTGGCATCCACTTCCATAATAGCTTGCCTCCGGAAACCCTATGAACCTGTAGAAAGGATGAAAGGCACCCAAGCGTAGAGGACTCTCCTTCATAGAGTCACTATGAGTCGAAACCCTATGAACCTGTAGAAAGGATGAAAGGCACCCAAGCGTAGAGGACTCTCCTTCATAGAGTCACTATGAGTCGCCTGCAACTCAGTGGCACTTAACAGCAACAACAACAGTTGCTTACTAAACTATGATTTAGAACATTGTCTTTGAGGGCTGTTATATCTGGAGACCTTGATGTTCCTCTTGATGCCGAGATTCTAAGGCCAGTAAATTACTAATTTCCTTAGGATAGTTGGTTATGATTAAGACGTTTATGTAAATAGTTTTCCCCTAGTACTTCAGCTATATACTTTTGTATATTTATAGCATATACTTATATGAATATAGAAAATGATATGCCAAGTTTATTTATAGCCATAGGTGAAGTCCTTTCACCTGCCCATATCTGCTCATCTTACCTGTCTAGATGGAAGATTTTTGTCCTCATTGGGGACCTCAGATTTGTTGTTGTTTGGTCCCCCCTCCTTTTTAATAGTTTGTCCTTCTTGGGTTCTTTTTAATCTGTCCAGATTTATCTAATGCATTCAAAGAATGCCAATCAAAGTCTTGATATTTTTGTTACTGTTTTGGTGTAAAATGACAGACTACATCTAAAATTGATATGAAAATACAGGAGTCCAGAATAGCCAAGAATTCTTAAAGACCAAAAATGGAACCTAATCAATACTTATTATAAAAGAAGTAGCAACCAACACGATGTCCTAATGGTACAACCAATAAAGAAGAGTACAAAGTCCCGAAATAGATCTGCACGTGTATGGCATCTAGAAGTATGCTAAACCATCATTGTCATTAAATGTAGTATCAATTAGCTTTCAACAAATGCCATTGGAACAATGAGTATTGTTAAGGGGGGAAAAAGAACTCTGATCCTGGTGGCTTAGAGGTAAGGAATTACACTACCAACACAAAGGTATGTGCTTTGAATCCACCAGCTGCTCCATGAGAGAAAGATGGGCATTCTTCTCCATGCAATTTACTACCTGTGAAAACTCACTAGAGGGTCGGCTATGAGCCGGTTCTGACTCAATGGCACACAACAACAACAGCAACAACAACAACAACAACAACATAACATAGCCTAGCATACTGGCATAGCCTAACGTAACCTAACAAACATAACATACCATACATGAAACATAACATAACATAACATAACATAACATAACATATCTAAAAGGAGCTCTGGTGGCTTAGTGGTAAGGAGTTGCATTGTCAAGTCAAAGGCATACTGTTCAAATCACCAGCTGCTTTGTGGGAGAAAAAGGGCTATCTGTTCTGGTGTGATTTGCTGTTTCTGAAAACCCAGCAGAAGGGCAACTACAATCTGCTGATTGGTTCTGACCCAGCAGTACACAACAACATATATTAAAATGTTAAAACAATGGAAGTACTCGAGAGCAACTTCATGAATTTGGGGAACAAGCATTTTAACTTGTCCCCTTGGGAGTTCTTAGAATGAAACTAAAAATCATCAGTGTTTCATGTGTTTTATGAAACTAGTCTGTTGTGTTGTATGATAAATTCACGGAGAGAATGATCTAGATGTTTTTAACTCCTCACAGAACAGAGCTCTGCACACAGCAGGTGCTCTATAAGTGCTGCTGGAGGGTACACAGGAAGCCCCGTGAGACTGACAGCCTGGTTTACACTGCATTAGAGTTCAAATGCTCTGCAGTTAGCATGCAGGGAAACCCTTAGCTTATCTGTGTTTTCTTTTTCTTCTCTGAATGGCAACATTATGATGGTGTCTTCCTTGTGCAGGTGGTTGAGCAAGAAGATGGTGAGCGATTTAAATCTGTGTTGAACTGGGACATGAATCCCACGGATGGAACAGCTGGTCCTGAGAAGCAGCCACTGGGGAGCGAGGTGAGAGGACAGCTGGAAGCGAATGTGGAAGAAAAGAGCAGAATGACAAGGGTAATCAGGGACAGATCAGTAAGACTACCATCAACATCCCTTAGATCTCTTCCTTTATGTCAACTCGAGCCCATGTTCATTGGCTGCTTCCTTGCACCCACTCTGTTTCTGTTACTGATAACAGGAATCCAGACGCGAGACCAAGCCTACCCTTTCTCTGATGCTCCACGTGGCCTCACCTGCTCCTCTTTATTTCCCCACCACAATTCTGATCATCTCTTGTCTCATTTTCCTGAGAGATCCAAGGTGGTCTTCCCCCTTTTCTGCTCACATTGGGTAGTGCATCCTGTTGATACTGGTCATTTTTAGCCACCTGGATGCCTTTGACTTACAAGCACCTGGAAATTTACAATCGTCTGCTTTTGGCCACCTCAGAGATTAAAAATTGCTCGGCTATTTATTTTTATTCACATACTCAATTTTTGAATGTTTCTTATTGTCGAAAAACCCGCAAACACAAAACTTGTCCACAATTTCCTGTTCCAGTTGCCTTTATAGAGGCACCTACAGCTCTTAATTTTATTTATTTATTTA